TGCTTCAACTTCAAAATCCATCATGACCTCCAGGGTCATAAGAGTTCAACTGTGGCTTAGTCATATACGGTTGAATTGCTTACACCTCAAATGCTTTAAAAAATTGATTTAGAAATATAAATTGAAACAAATACAGCTAAAACTAAACTGAACTTTATCCAGAGTAACGATAACTGCTAACTGGGTCAAATGTTCTATAACCAGAACAAGGTGAAAATGATGCATAGAGACTCAAATATATGCACAATCAATAATATTTGGTTCAATGGCTCAGCAGTCTCAGCACCATCAACAAGGTCCTGGAATAAATCTGGCTGGACATTTTACCCCTCTTCTTATGTATCTGGTAGAGCTTGTTTAAGCAAGTTATTTAATGTTTTTTTTTCTTTTGAAATAGCTTTGGAACACTCAAGCCAAATATACAGTATCTGGGCCAGCCTACAGGCCAAAAGGCTGGCCTTATTCAACAGTTGTTAAACCAGTTTAATAAAAAAAAAGGGGATTACTGTACCATCTGAGTTACTTACTGTGTTAAAGTATTAATGATTATATTGAAACATAGGACTTCAGAAAAAAACAACATTGTTCAGGATGTTCGAAAAAAGTGTACAAGCAAGAGAGATAACCGCACCCTGGAGAGGATTGTGAAACAAAACCCATTCAAAAATGTGGGGGAGATTCACAAAGAGTGGACTGCAGCTGGAGTGAGTGCTTCAAGAACCACCACACACAGACGTATGAAAGACATGGGTTTCTGCTGTCGCATTCCTTGTGTCAAGCCACTCTTGAACCACAGACAGCGTCAGAAGCGTCTTGCCTGGGCTAAAGAGAAACAGGACTGGACTGCTGGTGAGTGGTCCAAAGTCATGTTCTCTGATGAAAGTAAATTTTGCATTTCCTTTGGAAATCAAGGTCCCAGAGTCTGGAGGAAAAGAAGAGAGGCACTTCATCCACGTTGCTTGAAGTCCAGTGTAAAGTTTCCACAGTCAGTGATGGTTTGGGGTGCCATGTCATCTGCTGGTGTTGGTCCATTGTGTTTTCTGAGGTCCAGGGTCAACGCAGCCACATACCAGGAAGTTTTAGAGCACTTCATGCTTCCTGCAGCTGACCAACTTTTTGGAGATGCAGATTTCATTTTCCAACAGGACTTGGCACCTGCACACAGTGCCAAAGCTACCAGTACCTGGTTGAAGGACCATGGTATCCCTGTTCTTAATTGGCCAGCAAACTCTCCTGACCTTAACCCCATAGAAAATCTATGGGGTATTGTGAAGAAGAAGATGCAATACACCAGACCCAACAATTCAGAAGAGCTAAAAGCCACTATTAGAGCAACCTGGGCTATCATAACACCTGAGCAGTGCCACAGACTGATCGACTCCATGCCACGCCGCATTGCTGCAGTAATACAGGCCAAAGGAGGCCCAACTAAATACTGAGTGCTGTACATGCTCATACTTTTCATGTTCATACTTTTCAGTTGGCCAACATTTCTATAAATCCTTTGTTTTTATTGGTCTTCAGTAATATTCTAATTTTCTGATATGATGAATTTGAGATTTTCATTTGTTGTCATTTGTAATCATCAAAATTAAACAAAATAAACATCTGAAATATATGAGTTTGTATGTAATGTATGAATATAATATACAAGTTTCACTTTTTAAATGGAATTACTGAAATCAATCAACTTTTTCATGATATTCTAATTTTATGACCAGCACCTGTATATTGGTGTCTTTCAGATTTGACCTTTGGCCCCAATGCTGTCACACCTCCATTGGTCACCTAAACTCCATGTTTTCATTAAATCCCTTGAATAATGACACCTCTGATGTAATTTCTCTCCAATTTTTAACTGCGATTTCTAGATATTTTCATTAGATTTTATAATAAGGTTTGAACCATAAAAGGTAAATAATATTAGATTAAATAAAATGTTTGACTTGTTAGAAATTAAAATTAATGACTAGAGTATCCTCAACCAGATGCAGATTCTAAAAACTTCACTGCAAATGCCTAAGTTCTTACCAAGATATTAAAGAAATTAATACTGAAAGATTTTTTGCTCCTATAGTGTATTGACACATTTGTTTTTATTATAATCTTGCTAAATAATAAAAAAAAAATAACAATTCAATTCTATCTTCGTTAAAAGCAAAGATCCACGTCTCTGCAATGTTTATTTTTAAAACCAAACTGTTTGGCATAAAAAAAGTAACTTTCCAATTTGTGTAAATCCCTCTTCAACACTTAAAAAAGGGGGCTGGCCAAAGCCCCCTTTTTTAAGGGGCCTGTTGTCTTTGCTGTTTATTTTAACAGCTTTATTACTGACAATCAAAACTAACATTCTAGATAATAGGGTGTCAGGTAACACTGCATGGTGAAAAAAATCGCATCACCAGGTTTGAGTTTCATGCTGGTGTATTTATTGTTCAGCAGAAACCCTGTCTGAACCACATGCCTCATTATTACTAATCAAAATCTGAGACTTCTTGTGGAGACACATGTTCATTTTGTTAATATTACCAACATCAAATAAACTACTTTTAGCCATATTGAACATGTGATAGTAATTTTCTTTTGTGCCTTTTACCTTCAAAATGATTTTTTTCTGTTTTTGCATTGCAGCTGGCAAACATCTGTGCAGTTTATTCCATTATTTTCTTTCTTTGTAAAACACAGTTTTATTTCTTGTTTGGGTTCTTTACCAGATCAGGTTTAGGAACAGAAGGTCTAGTTAAACCTGAATTCATAAATATTTAAAGTGAGTCGCTAAGTAAAACCTAAAATAAATTATTTTATTTTGATGCATATTATCAGATCTGTCCTTTAGAATATTGAAAAATGTGTGACAAACCAAACATTTTGTGTACCTCCTCAGACTGTAGAATGATTTTCCATCACTGTATCAAGAACATCATAACAACTGAAATATAAAAAAAAGAAGAAAAGTTTTTTAAAGAACAAACAGAAACAAAGAATGATTCCACAGAACAAAGTTGAGGTGAGGCTAGATGTGATTAAAGAACGAGTATAATATATAATCAAAGTCCCATCCAGACTCTTTGTGTCAGCTGGCTTTATTTGCTCATGTCACTTACCTCCTAGTTATGCCCTGTTCCTCATCATCTCTTATCTCATTCACCTGCCGGTTTCTCTTCTATTTGGTCCAGACCAGCTATCTTGGCAGATCATTGTTTTGCCTTGTGTCCTGTCTGTCAGTTTTGTTAGATATAGGTCTATTTCCAAGGTTCATGTTCCAGTGAGGAGTTTATTTTTCAGCCCAGGTCTTCAGGCTAGTTTAATCCCTAACCAGTGATGAGAGCGTTTCAGCATTTCCCGAGTGATTCTGTCTGGCCCTGTCTGTCCCTGCCCACCTGAACCTCTGTTAGACTCCAAGGTGCATTGCTGTTTATAGCTGGATGCTCGATGAACAGGACTCTAAACCTGCCTTCATGCTCTGATGGATTCCTGGAACCCAGATCTGTTTGTTCCTGAGTGGATTGGAACTCCGGACCAGACTGCAGACTCCTGGATTCCAGAACTACTCCGGTCTGTTCTGAATCCCTGTCATAGTCCAGCCTGTTCACTTGCGTTGCTGCATCGGGGACACTCTGGACGGCTCAGGGCCGCCACTCGTTGGCAGTGCATCGGCTTATCCTGCCTATGATTGAGAGGATGGACTAAACTGTTAAACCAGGTAAGTGACTCACTCTGATAATCACCTTCTGTTCAGATAATGGCGGTCACTTATCCTGTGTTTCTCCCTAAACCAGAGTGTCAGTGATTGGGCGGTGCCCCACCCCCCTCCTGCAGTCGCTACAGGTCCGCAGATCGTCAGCAGCCCGCTTCAGTTCTGTGTTGTCTTTATTGTAAAAAGCATTTTGAAGTTTCCTACTGGCTGTCTCACCTAGACTACTGGGTCCATCTGTCTCGTTTTGACACTTTAAGGGTCTGCATAATATATGTTTCAAATTAGGTTATTGAAAAAACTTCAAGAATTGTCAAACACTAAAATGACAGAATCAACAAATTTTTCATAAACACCATTTTTCCATTTGTTTTATTCAATTAATTGAAAGTAGTGATGGCAAAAACATAGCTTTAAAAGAATCAAATGTAAGAACATATAAATCGATCATACAAAAGTAAAGCTATAAATATCAAAGTATTTACAAATCCATTTCTAAACATATATGGCAATATTCATAAATGAGCCAGGATCAAATCTGATGCATACTATACCCTTTTTCCTTTTGATCGCTTGCCGAGTTGGGTCTGTACACCATCTGTAGCTGCTGATGTAAACATTTACTAAAGAAAAGTAGACTGTACATTATTGCTATAAGCAGTAAAATGGGCCCACCTAAGACATGCGTGATTAAAATCCCATGAAGGAAAATGTACATGACAGATTAGATATGAACCTGCTGGAATGAAACCAGCCATTTACACCCAACAGTTAAACAGTCAATTCACTGGAAATGAATAAAGGTCAGAAGTATATGATTATTGCTACTCCAGATAAAGTATGGAAAAAGCCTTAAAGAATTTTCATCTTTTGCAATATTAAGTCTTACATCATCTCTTTAGGTACTATTATTGGAGTTAAAGGGGGAAAAAAATCACAAGATAAAACATTAAGATGTCCTTTTTGCCTGGAATATAAATATGACGTGAAACAGATATCCACTTCTAAGAGCCACTGTTCGAATGGAGAAAGGGAAACAGAACATACTATTCAGGTAAGGCTGCTGTGTGTTAACCATTGTAAGTGCAAAATAAAATTTATGCTCATCTAAACCTGCCAGTATCTAGAGACAGAGGAATAATTACACATTTTAAAGAAACAAACACTGATAAAGATGGCTGAATGACTACCTACATTTAAAGTTTGGTATAAAACAGCTCTCCAGCTGGTAAAGAACTGCAGTGAGCAGTGACATCTTGAGGTCATCAGGTCTTGATGACAATAATTGGACACTATTTACAAGCCAACCAGTTGCATGGATAGCCTTTAATGTTTCACCTCAACAAACATGAACATAGAGACTTTACCTCAGCCCTGCCCTTTAGTCTGAAGAGACCACAGCTATAATCCCTCCAGGTGGATTTGCTGTGTAACAAAGGTAAATGTATAGGGAGCCACAGTTTCTTCCTCTTCATGTGTTAGGTAACAGTCTCGTGCCACCTTGAGGTGGATAAAAAAAATAAACAACCACCACCTAAATGTCCTTAACATTAATGACGTAGCACCACGTTGCTCTTTACGCTGGGATTTGCGGCTTTCTCTCGCTCTTTCACCAACTCCATCTCAATCTTTGCCTGGATTTTATCCCAATCCACTTCAACCTTCAAGGGGAAACAGAAAGTCATATACTGTAAGATTAGATCAACCTGAACTGATCAGAATAGAAAGCAACACATTTTTAAAAAGAGACGCTCAAATCAAGAAGGAAACCTATTCTTAAAAATTCTGTTTTGTCTCTGAAGTGTTGAAATGTACATATCTTTTCATCACTTTCATGAAATTATGAGTATCTGAATACAAAATAAGTTTTCTTTTAATCAGTTTTTAGTTTAATGTCAATGATAACAGCCTTTAAGCTGATAGCTTAATTTTACAAGGTTAACCAGATAAGAATGTAAGCAGCAACTAATCTAAACTTTATAGTATGTAAAATCACTCCAGGTTATCAAAGCGTTGCAAAAAAATCTATTTATTGAAAGGAAAGAATTTGAACCCCTAATTCTATTAAAACAAAATTTAAACCTGCAACAAAAGTTTATACAACACCACAGAGAAGCTTTCACAACATACAGCTTCAGAGTACTCCAGGAATCTCTTGTTGGTTTCCCTCCTGCCAAACTTCTGCAAGAACTTCTGCCTATAGGCCAGCACAGTGTCCACATGGGTCTTATGTTTGACTGCCAGCTCCAGAGCCCTGGACCCAAAACAATGCAGAGAATGTAGAAACATAACATTAACTGTTGAAAAAAATATTTGTTTTTTTTAAACAAATAAAATATCCTTTAAGATTTTCTAATAAACATATCAAAATACCCCAACAGAGAGTAATATCTTTAATGCATGTGTCATCAATAAAAACAAATTGAACATCCTGTTAATTATCCACTTTCCTGTCAGATTCTAAATTCTGTGCCGCCATTAGTCCAATGTAAATACCATTTAGCCTGAATTACACTTAAAGGTATAGTGGATGATTTTTGCGAATTTTTGAAAAGATATGCCCTCTCCATTTAAAAAAAAAATGTACATGCACAACCCTGTATCCGCTCCTGAGAGGGAACGCTTTTATAAGTTTGCCAGACTATGCACGAGCCCATTTCTCCTCGTGCACGCTCTGTTTAAATTGCTGTTTTCATCGCTCATACAAGCTTACTTTCCCAAAAAAGATTTGCAATTTTTCCACTGTCAGACCAGTAAGTGGAAATGGGGACGAGCACGTAGGACGACCTTACGTATACTGGAAAAAAAATCAAAATCTAGATAAGTAATTTTTTCTCAAAATAAGTTTTTTTTTTTCTTGAATTGAGGAGGTAAAAGAGACATATTGCCAGTGGAACAAGACAATTTACATTTAAAATAAAAAAAAAACAATTACATTGCCTTATTTCAAGTACATATTGTCTAATTATCTTATTCCAAGAATAAAAATACTCATTCCATTGGCAAACTATCTCATTTACCTACTGAAATTAAAGGTAAATAAATACACTTATTTTTAGAAATTTTTGCTCATTTTCAGAACGTGTTTGCAGTGTAAACATATCACCAGAATGATTGATGATTAGGAGGACCACTTATTTTGATGATCCACCCGGAAAATGAACATCCTCCACTATACCTTTAACTTCCTAATATTGAAGAAAAAAAACAAAAAACTAAGATTCATTTTTTTGGTAACCCTACTTGTATATAGATTATTTGGCCCAGAACAGCTTGTCATGGACTTGGGGGTCAAAGAGATCATCGATCTTGAATGTGACAATCCAATTAAGGGAGCTAGCTGAAATAAAGCCAATTCTTTACAAGTAGTACTTTTAGACAGTTACTGGACCGGACTTAATGACAGGGTCAGAGCTTTGCCCATCACCTCTATCCAGATGTTGCAAAATGCTGAGCTCATCTTTATTTGGCACAAGTTTTAGCTTCACTTTATGATTGATGTTAAAATCATTTTATACACTTTTACAATCATCCTACTTCTCTGAGATGCTCCAGCCCTTAAACGCCAGTTTGCTCCCTTATCTCAGCTGATCAGCTGCTCTTGAGTGCAAACAGGACTGAGCATAGTTTGACAGGTCTGTGCATTTGCTGTCGCAGGTCCCAAAGTGTGAAATGATGTGCCCTTGGAAGTTTTGAAATACACTCACACTTTAATGCTAACCTTTGATGCCATGTCTTTTAAGTAAAGTTTTTTCCTACCACCTTCCCTACTGGTTGGATAAATCCCCATATAACTCTTCACTATATGAACATAAATATGAACTGAATTGTCATAGTTGCTTATAATGTTATGAATTAAGACAAAAGTTGATAATACTATCATTCTTTGGTAACAGTACATTAAGATAAATAGTATGGCGGCCTGTAAGTATGAAAAAGTGGAATGATAATGATGCCAATAATAATGAATGTTGTTTAACTCATCGATTATCCTACCTGTTCCAGTTGAAAAGGTCAATGTTCAATTGTATAGCTTGGTAGATAAGACCAGCTTGAAGGAGAGTTGCTTCAGCTTCCTGGAAATGACCACTGAACATCAGCATGTGGGCCAGTGCTGAGTCCTTTGATGGCTGCTTTTTAATAAAGTTGATGTACTGCACCCTCGGTAACTAAACCAAGAAAGGGGGAGCATTTAAAGAGAGAGGGAAAATGCACAGCGATTAACAAAATATTTCTTAATTAAGTTATTTTTTTGTAAGAACAGGTGAAAACCGTCCTAGTATTGCATACAGTACACACTCGTGATCGAAAATACTTTTGTGCATTTATTAGATTTAATTACATCTTGGGTACGTCTGACAGACCAAAATTTATTTGTTCCCCTCTTATAGAGATTTTGATCAGAAGTATATTTGCAGAAATTCAGAAATTAACCAATACACTCACCTCTCTAATGGCAGCATAGGCTATTTCTGCTGTGGCTAGGTCTCTGTTTGCCATTGCCAAACCTGCAAGACACGCCCACAAAGCCTCGTCCTACAAGTGGAAAAGGAAAAACATAAGATTTTTTACTGACAGTACTGGTATCATTGATTTTTATTTCCTGTTAAAATACTATTATTTACCCCTAATTCTTTTAGGAGTAAATAACATTTCTAGGGAAACCTGGACCCACACTTTTGTATAGTACACTGAAGAAAATAAGTAAAAAATGTACGAACAACTAAACCATTATAAAAGCCCTTTATGTACAAAACAAATTAAAAGCCTTAACAAAAAACAGCATAGAATAAAGTCATAATAAATCTGTCAAAGTGGTTTGGGAATAGCATTCAAAGTCTTAAGTTTAACAGTTTGTAGAGAAGAGATCCAAATTTGTTCAAGGAAATAAAGTTTTGAAGCTGGAGTAAGTTTTAAAAACCAAGATGCTACATATGAAAATGCTTTTCCGATAAAAAAAGACACTTCTACTAAGCTCAAACTACTAGGCCAACCCCCTCTTGGGACCAGGTACAGCTGGTTGCAATCTGCTTTATCCAAGTTATGTCGTAAGCCTGCACAAAACATGTGGTGCTGTGTTCCCAGGTTCCAAGCCTCCTTGCCCTCTTCAGTTAAGTGCATCGTCGCCGGAGAGAACCTCCCATGGCTGCTCCTCCTATTTGGCCCTTTTTGACAGCAACACTCATATTTTCCAAAGCCTCTTTTTGATGCCGCTGTACCAAGTAGGTTTTCCAGATCCCACTTGTGGACTCGGTTGGGCCTGTAGTAAAATACCTGTTCTACACAAATGGAATAGAGGATATCCACCCGGTCAGATCTGCACAGGTGCTAGGATGGGGCCAAGAGAACACTGGATAATGGAGCATAAGCAGGAAGAGTATGACTTCGCTAGTTACCGTGCCATAGATGGGGGACCAAGTACAGCTTTTTTTTAAAAAAAATAGTTTGGGATACCACTCTGCGGCACCCAGGGAGCAGTCTGGAGTTAAGGGTCTTAATCATAGACCCTGATTGGCAGCCTGTGAGAGTCGAACTTAAAGCCTCAGGGACCTAAGCGCAAAGCTCCAGCGCCACCACCTCCCGGGACCAGGCACAGCTAGTTGCAGTCTGCTTTGTCCAAGTTGCGTTGCAAGCCTTTGCCAAAAATGTGGGGGGTGGGCTACCAGGTTCCAAGCCTCCTTGCCCTCTTCAGTTCAGTGTATCCACGCCTTTACACACAGCAGTGAAATAACAGTAGTCAGATTCAAGTGAAGGAAAGTTGGTCAAGTGATCTATAGTTTGACATCCTACGATTGCCAGGTGGGGAGTGTTATGGAACTAGATATAAGTTTTGGAGTTTTTATGGCTTGCAGTTTTGTTGCATCCCTTGATGGTTTATTTGTGCATTTTATTTTTCTGAGAGCTAACCAGTGCTGGTTTCACACGTGGTATTCCGTTGCCATCTACGCCTTCACGAGTTGAAAAAAATGGCATCATATGTACGTAATACTGTTATCTTTGAAGCAACTTATGCTCACCTAATTTGTCTTAGACGTTTTATATTTCAATTTGGATGTGTCCAAAACCTAAGTATGGTATAGTACTAGTAATGGTTGCATGCCATGTGGTTTCTGTGACATGAAAGGCATCTGAATCAGCTAAATTTCACTCTATGTTTGACTGAGGAGTCATTTCAGTTGATAAATACGGAGGTGATGTTCGTGGATACATGGCTTCACTTTGTTATTTTGTATAATGATGCAAAATGTATTGGTTTTATTTCAGTTTTTATTTCAGTTTCACATTTAATACATATTAAACCATCCAACCCATCAGTCTGTTTCTTTGATTTTGATTAGGTGAGTGTTTAATTGCCTGTATAGCTAAGTCTATGTATATATATATATATATATATATATATATATATATATATATATATATATATATATATATATATATATTTACTCTGAAAAAATAAATTAGAACTATAGTTTCAACAGTAGTTGGTCGTGAGTTGATCAAACTTCAGTTCAGAGCCATCACCCTGTAAAAAAGCTCTATAGTTGGCATCTGTCACAAAGACAAACAGCTCGATCAGAGAACACTCCAGCAAACAAACAAACACTAACTGGTCCTTGAAGATGTCAGTAAAGTGAGAGAGGCTCCAGAGAAATGTGTGATTTAAAGAGAAGCATTGTTTTTTGTTTTTTTTGCAATTCAACTGTTGTACTTGAGAAATATGATGTCACGGACTATATGTCACGTTTGTATACATTAGCTCCAATATGCAGCCGTTTACTGACAACAAGAGCAAGTAGAATTCTGGGAAAAGCCACAGAGCCACCAAATACTTACCAGAACTGCAGGAGGAGGGAGGGGTCAGGAGGAAAATCTTTTAAAACTGGTGAGTCGGCTCTCTCCGTCTCCACTCTACCACCCTTCTCTCCCTTTTTTAAGGATGTGGTTAAAGCATCATCTCCCAAGCAAAGCATCATTCTAGATCTCCATCTGGATGCCTGAGCGAATATGTCTGGAGGGTCTTTACATTCATGTAGCTAAGTGGGTATTTATGAAGTGAGGTCTTGGGTGGGGGTGAGGGTGTGTGTGTATGGGTAGCCATGTTTTTGTTAATTTATGGGGACAATTTCCCAGGAATATGCTACATTCTGGGGACTTATAGGTACTTGTGGGACATACGACTGGTCCCCATGAGGGAAGTTTCTGTTCTTAGGATGGGGGTTAGGTTACGGACTAAGGTGTGAATTGAGTTTAGGTTAGGTTTAGGGTTAGGTATGTGTTGCTAATGGTACGAGTTATGGTAAGGGTCTGGGTTAGATCATACAAACTTAATTTAAGTCAATTAAATGTCTACCACAAGGATAGTGTGACACAACATGTGTATGTACCACAAGGATAGTGTGACACAACATGTGTATGTGTAGATGTATGTGTGTGTACTTGTATATATTAACTATTTAGGACCTTGTTTGGTATGTTTGCTGACTTTCTAAAGACTAACAGGCCTTACGGGGATCAAAGGCTAGTCTTAATGTGGCAGATCCCCATTTTTTAGGTTAGGGTTATGGTGTTAATTAACTTTAGGTTAAGGTTAGTGTTAGGAATATGCTGGTAATGGTTAGAGTTAGGTTTAGGCTTAAATGCAGTAGCAGAAAGTAATGTAAGTCAATGTAGAGTGTCAATCGGGATAGAAATACAAAGTTTGTGTGTGTGTGTGTACATGTGTGTGGGGGTCAGGGGGTGGGGTGGGGGGTGGTGTTATCAGGCAAATGCTGTCACGAGGCGGTTTGCAGGCTAATTCAATCCTGCTGTTCTTGTGTTGTAAACCTGTCCACTACCTTCTGTCACAAGCTTTGTCAAGTTCTCTACATACATGGGATATTTACTGTCAAGTTGCAAGCAAACACCTTAATACCATTTACTGTGATTTTATGTGACATACTTACACAGATAAGTTCATCATCAGGAGGTAGGAAAGGAAAAACTCATCCTTTTTTAGCCATTTTCTTAGATAGAAATAAAAAGTTATGGTCTACAATTGTATAACAAGTTAAATCTTTACAGAAGTGCTTTTAGCTCCAACATCTGTCCATCAGCTTTACACATCTAGAGCCTGAAATGCCTGCTCCTCCATTGGTCGAATATACACCACACTTTCAAGATTTCTATTTGTAAAAATAACAATTTAATGACAAAAAAAAGTTTCACTATGGCAGCAAACAAACAATACCATAGGAGCAATAATGAAGCTGCGACCAGCAGACGTTATCTGAGAAGGGTCAATATCTTACTTTGGCGAATCGGCAGAGACGCAGTGCATCCTCCCAGCGTGCGGAGGTGCAGTACTCATGCAGGAGAGCAGGATAAAGGGGTACGTTGCTGTACACCAATGAACCGTCCCCTCGGCGCAGCGTCGCCTTGGCTCCAACGTAGCTCAGAATGTGGGGTGCACGACCAAACTCGCTTTGCAAAGACATAGACACAGATAAAATCAAAACCAGCACATTATATTCTCATGTCTTTCACATATGACTCAGCCTGTGTGTGTCTACAACACAGAGTGGGACAATTATGGGAAACACAAAAGGTTATACACCATATAGGGGACTATGGACAGGAATATCCAGACAGTGCACTTGTTCCTTTGATTTTCAGTGATCATATTCAATTCAATTCAGTTTATTTATATAGCGCCAAATTCACAACACATGTCATCTCAAGGCACTTTACAGTTCAACCAGATCATACAGTCAAATTGATACAAAGTTTTCTATCTAAGGAAAACCAGTTGATTGCATTGACTCATTGACTCAAATACAATCCCCCACACTAAGCATGCTTGTAGCGACAGTGGAGAGGAAAAACTCCCTTTTAACAGGAAGAAACCTCCAGCTTGGTAGGAAGCTGATGCTCCAGCATCATATGGTAGGAAGTGTTAAAAAAAAAAAACTCTTCCCTAAAGTTTGTTGTCTACCCCAGCGACACAGTTTGCACCAACAGGACATTGGCAAAAATGTGCATATGAGCGAAAAATTCCTCTCTCTCTGACCAAATCACCTACGCCATATTTGGTCATGTCTAATATAATTTAACCATTTTAAACAACATTGAGCTATCTTACTTTGGAATGACCAATGTTATCATTAAAATGGATCTTTCATTACTATATATAATAAAATATATGTTTACTATATATGTTTAAATACAGTGTTCACCTTTATGCAAACAAGTTGTGCAATCATATGTTAAGGAATCAATCAGACCAATGCCCTAGCAGTGCCTTACAAAAGGTTATTTGAGCGCATTAGTGAACAAATAGCACCATGCCTCATGATGAGAAAAGAGTCACTTGGAGGGTTTGGAAGTAAAGTTGTGATAAATGTAAAAACTGTTGAATGTTAAAAATATCCCGAACTTTAACATCTCATGGAGAGCTTTTCATTCATCCAAAAACCAAAACTACAAAACCACCTAAAGATGGGCCTGAATATAAACTTACAGGCCTGACGAAGCACCAAAAAATCAGAGAATCAGCATAGAGAGCCGTGTAACCGTGGAGAAGATGCAACCAGATACTACCAATACTAAAACAGTTTGGTTTTCATGCAACATATTATGGTTGTAATACTGTGGTGTCAGCATCATGCTAAGGACCTAGCTTCCTTAAGCCTTTATTGTTGGATATAAACACCACTTTGCAGCAAACAAAGCAAAATTGGGAGGTCAAATGTGGTCTGCAGGGTCTGTAAACTCTGTCTTATAGCTGTGTGTAACTCCTTCATATAATCCCACAAATATTCAAATATTGCCTACTGTGTGTGATTATATTGCCTACTGCAAATTAAGTTAAAAAAAAGTTAATAAGCCAAGTTAAAAACTTAATACGTTAAGAAAAAATATTAAAAAAACAATAGGTCGATAAGCGAAGTTCAAAAGTTCCTGTGTCAGCATGAATGTTTTAAGGGTTGTGTTCTAACAAAAAATGTATTTCTTTCATTCAGAAAAAGTTTTTCCAAAACTTCTTATAGAAGTGCTCTATGCATTTTTTTTTTACTGTATTAAGGCAAGTCACTGTTTCTAGTAATTATATCGACTTTTATTTTGTCCATGAAAATACTTGTTTACTTTCTTGTTATTTCAAATGTTAATACGATCTTGTTCTGTTCTTCAATAACACTTAACTTGAAATTTTTTAATTCAAAGGATTTTACTAAGTGCCCTATAAAGGGTTAATAGACAGATAAACTGGTCGCAGTAAAGGGGAGTGAATAAAGCAAAATTTAAAGCAATCCTGGAAGATTACCTCTTATGGCCTTTTCAATTTTAGCTATTGTATAACACCATTCCATAACACAGTTTGCAACATGAAACTAATAACTTTGGTATGACAGATACTTATCAAAGGTTATCTCTGGTTGCAAGGCACAACCAACAGATGTCCTGTTGACCTATCTCACAGTGCCAAGTAGGACTGCAGATTAAGAGCCACAACTAAAGAATTATGGTATCTCTACGATCATCATGCATAGTACACAAAGCATACCGGCCATTAGAGTCTGCAGAAAACTGGAGATGTGGAACATCTTCCTACTCCTATGTTCACAGATGTTTCTCCTCTTAGTTTAAGTGAACTTTAATGATTTTGCAAAGATTATGTAGCAAAAAGTTCCTCTACAAGAAAGTCTACCGTGGTTACTTTGTGGGTAAATACCAACAGATGGACTGTTAAGATATAAAATGGCCTCTTAAGGGAGTCTAAACACATATGCCTGCTATACTTTTCTAAATTTTATCTGGAAGAAATGTAGAACACTTTCTATTCCCCGTGTAGAATACTTTCCATAACCACTGTATGAATACTTTTTTAAGGCACTGCAAATTTTGTTTTAAATCCCCTTACTTTATTTTTCTTTTATTTCAGACTACTTAAAAAACATGAAATATTTCCTGCTCAGTCTGTGCGGTTTCAGTATGGACTGCAAGGGAGATCGAGCAGCAAGATGTTGGCTCAGGCACACCAGTGGCTGCCTTTGTCAAATCAGCTATCAATGCTGAATATTTGTCTTGGACAGAATATAGCATCCAATCACCTGAAATGTAATTGTCCCAAAAGAATAGTGCAGGAAAAGTGAAAATAGCCTCTGCTAAAATCTGAGGACTTTTGAGCAGGAGGAACTGCAGCAACTGCTGCTCATAAAAACCAAGGGGATATGGTAATATTACCCTTGGAATAAGCTTGATAGAAAATTAATTGTATTTTTTAGCAGTGATTTTCAATTCTCAAATGACAATTTTAACGCCATACCCTACCTGCCATCCTTTGTGTAAATAGTTTTTGGAAGCAGTTCCTTATCAGTGAAGACGACACTTGGATAGTACCACACTGTAAACTGATCATCCTGGATTCCACATAAGATGTTAGCAGTATTGTTCCACGCCATGCTGTGCACCATGCTGCCTACAAGACAGGTCCCATTATTAACACATCAGTCTGCAGCAGCTGGTCACAGGTCGGTTTGAGTTCTCAGCAGCTTCTCTCACCGATTTTGCAGATTTTGGGATCCTTTCCAAGATGATGCACGAAGGTCAAGTACAGGTCACGGTTCTTGTCAATCAGTGCGATTTTCCTCTCTGTGGATGGGCCGCACTGGTCCAAAGCTAGCTCTGACACCTCCAGCTAGACAAAAAAAGAGATTACAAAAAGACATGAAACAAAAGGTTTAAAAGCATTGTTCCTGTTGCAAAGTAAGGATAATTAATATGTCAGAGACAAGTCGATGCATGAGAGGGATTTGATAGGGAGGTAAAAGTTTTATTCTTTAATATTACATTTATTAACCATAAAAGAATAAAGTGTGTCTGTGTGTGGTGTTAAATCTGGGCCTTGGTGTAACCCAGCAGGGGCAACATGGACGTAGCAGCAAATAAAGATAGAATCTAAAAAGGCAGTTAAATATGGTCCAGTTATAAGCTTTAGTTATGCTTAAACTTTACCAACTGAATTACACTGCTTTTGTTGGCCTTAGTCAACAAATATATATCTAATATGTAGGAAGTTAAACCTTGGTTCGTGCCCTAATATAAAAAAGTGCAGACATTGTCCTTTTTAATGTCCCTCCCTGTAAAACAGCTGTATAAGGTGTATTTCCAAAAAAAAAAAAACATGGAAACATGTTTAATCAAAAGGGAGAACTTAAAAAATATTACAAAATAAAACAAAATATCCTACATTTAGTGAAGGGGTAGTGCCTGTGAATACCATGTAAGCTTAAAACTATGCCTGGAAACCTAAAAGTGTGACTGATATTGCTTGAAATCTCAAAATGTGAGAAACCAATCATTGCCTTCAAAGCCTTGTTGTTCTCAGCTCAAACCAGAAAAAGGGTCAGGATAACAATAGGAAATCCTGCTACTGATGAGAGTTGTTTCTCTGAGTCACTTGCGGGATTAATTTGTCTTAGGATCATGGCTTTCTAAATCAAAAATCCTGGGTATGCAGGGATTTCATATCAAACTTATTCCGAGTTCTGACTTATCCCACTTTCTGAATGGGGCCCAAGTGTCTGCTTATTTCCTAATCTTTTTTCCTCTTTTCTCATCTTTTCAGTCATGGTTTAGAATTATGGCCTGGAAATCATACTTCCATAGTTACTTACATCTTTAACTATTTTTGTTTGTTTTAAAACAGAAATACACAAGTTACTTGAAAATAAAATGGATGACTTATCCTGAAACAGAAGAACCCACAACATTTAAATCAACATTTATGCCATAGATGGATATTTTAAGATGCAAAAGTTAAGTTAGGGGTGAGGTACATTTTAATTAGAACCTATCTGAGACCATAGAGGCTACCTCTATAAGAAAGGGCAAAGACAGATCCTCACCCAAAATAATTTAGAGAACAGAGGTGGACGAAGCCTTTTAATAACAATAACTGTTTCCTTATTGAATAACTAATTAAATATAGAACTGAAATATAAAGAAATCTCCTAAAAAAGAACCCATGTGTTAATCATCCATTTTTGTATGGCTTTTGTAGTCCAGGAACCCTCAAAATACATATTCGAGAAAATTATCCAAAGAAAAACAGTCGACTTATTTGTGTTGTTCGCTTTTTTTACTCTTATTTATTTATTGATCTCTCCTTTTGGTCACATTTAGGTACAGTTTTGATTAATTAGTTTATATAAATACATCCAAAACAATCTAAATGTAGTTTTTGGAGTAGCATAGTAAAAATTTGGTCTTAAATCTAAATTGAAGATACTGTGGTCTGAAGTTAAATGTATCATTATAGAAAAGGAAAAACAAGGTTTGGTAAACGTTGTTTGATTAAATAGAGGAGAACAAACCTTATGGGTCAAGGGTTTCCCATCACCAATGGGTTTTCCAGTCATGGCGTCAAAGAAAAGGATAACTATAGATTAAAACAAGGAAAAGAGAAATGTAAAACACAGTATATGACGTCCAAAAAAGCTGCTCTTGAAGAGTTTCCCAAACCTTTTTCATCAGTCCTATCACGCACAGCGATTGTGTCATTGCTAAGTGAGGCAGTCTGGGCATTTAGGATGTCTGCCCTCAAACCCGGAAACTTGGGGGATGATATTAACCGACCCTCATAAGAGAAGGTACACAATCCCGATCCTTCCACAAGTAAAAAATGTCTGAGAAAGGAAGTACAGGAGATACGACACATATAACTTTGCTTAGGGTGAGAGGAGCATCAAAGGGAGGCAAGAAAATATAGACAAGTTCTTAGGATGGTGGAAAATAAAGAGATAATTAACTGACATATTCCAATAATTAAAAAATCTACTGCATCTCAATAGTGATAACTCCCTCAGTACAAGGCATCAAATTCAACTGAGATTACAAAATAGTCAGTAACGTATTTAGCTCCATGCTAAGTGTCAGAGCGTGGAATTGCACAAGAGCTACTCCATATTAATCTAATTTCCCTCAGTGGTTTCACTCTCAGCCTTATTGTATGACAGGGGCAAAGTTAGAGCACATCCTGTACTTGTGTGTGAATCTGTGTGTGTGGCTGCTGGCTGTGGAGTGGCCAGTGAAGAGTAATGAAGCATTAGGAGGCTGACAGGCCATCCAACAGCCTGTTCTGTTACTTGTTGCACAGAGTTGAAAGACTCACTTTTCAGCCTGTAGGATGAGGCTGATCGTTCCTTCCTTCAGATCAAAGATAATGGGAGTATTCCAGTTCCTGGAGCTGGTACAAACACACACACACACACACACACAGACACACACACACACACACACACACACACACACAAATATGAAAATCCAACTCTCAATAGATAAAAAGAACAAAAAAGACAAAAATTGACTAGTGTTAAAAAAAGAGTAAATTACAATGAGGACAAAAAAATTCTTCAAATATAACACAAAAAAAGTGCAGATATCAACATTACTTGAGAGAAAAATATGGAGTAGACTTTGCGTAACTAAAGTGCATCTTAATCTGACATTATGAGGCTAAAAGAAATTAGACATTATTCAAATTTTAAACCATACATCTCATCACAGTTTTTTAGATGATTAAAAACATATATTTCTTTTAGCAGCCACAAACACACCATAAAACTGTTGAAGTCGAAGGGAAGCAGCTGTTCCAATGGTTGCGTTTACGAATTCTCCCAGTGGAGCCCGACTTTAGCGAGTGAATAAAGTGAATGTGATTGGTCGTTTATCAAGGGGGTGGGATTCTTGTAGTGGAAGGTTGGCAAGCAGGTTTGATTGTAGCCGGTTTCTCTAAAGCATCTTGTAAACCAGTTAGCAACTTAGTGTTAGTAGGTTCCCAATGGGAAATTACATTGGGACCAAGTAGCAGTAAGCAACGACCCTGTGAAGGAACGCTATGGACAGCAGAAACATGCAAGAGGAGGACGGTTTTGTTTCGGAGGTCGTGGATGAGTCTCCTCCGTCATACATGTTTTATTTAGAGGAGGAAAGCAGAGACAAAGTTGTTGTGGAGGAGGACGCCAGGGCGGCAGAAGCTTCGTTTGGTGTAGAAGGCTTACAGCCGTTCATGTTTGAGCCCTTCCCTCGCAACACTGACAGTTCTGTTAGCTCTACGCCTGCTGAAAACGCAGACGTCCATCCCCGTGAACAATGGGATGTAACTCAATGGTAAAGTAAATGATTCTTATTTCTTATTTCAACCATTGCGTATATTAGCTGCGACATATGAATCAAAAAAGAAAAAATTTGATTGACAGATGACCATTGATATACGATTGGCTGAATTTAGGTGTACAAGCTGACATATAACTAACTGGCCTGCATAAGATAACGAAAAACAACCCCACAGATCTTAAGACAGGATTTTTTTTTAAATAGAAATTTTCAAACATTTGGGACAATATAGTCTGATAAAGAGTACATTTATATAAATGTTTAAGCCAGAATGATTTGACATTTAAATATGACTTCCGTACGACTTTAAAGGACATTTTCCAAAGATTTAAATCTGTCAAATGTAATACTGACATAAGAAAGGCTGTTGTGGGGAAAAAAAAATGATTTCTAGAAAAATGGAAATTGTGAGGAAATGATAATGAATGAAAAATAAAAAATAAGATGTAAAAACTATACAACTATTAGAAAAACAAAATTTCATATAATTAAAAATAAATTTAAGTAAAGAAAACAAAAACATGTCTAAAAAAATAAAATAAAAGGGCATTGAGCAGCTAACATTTATAGAAAAGTCTTTTTCTTATCTATTAATCTAAACACTTTAAAGTTCACTAAAATAATGTAAGGTGACTGGCAAAACAATTAAACACATTAATAAAATAGTGAATTCAAAAATAATACAAAAAAACTCTATTAAAGATTACAAAAGAAAGAAGGTACAAAAACACAAAATTATGGTACTTACTTCAAGAAAGAAAAAAACATTCATGAGAGAAATATAACCATTCGGTTGGTAGTCTTAGATTCAATATAAACGCTAATTCATAAATTAGCTTAAGATAACTAGTTTATTAGACCTGAGAGGCTTAATGACAAAGTCTCCTCAGCCATTTCCAGGTTCTCAGCAAAGAAATTCCAGAGGAGATGATCTAAGACTCAGTTCTAGTTCTGTTTGTAAGAAATAAACTGACAAAGATCAGTCCGCATTACAGGACTCAAACTATGCATGCTTAGAAAGATTCAATTGTCCCTTCTTTGCATTAACTATATTCTGATAGTTTCTTCCTGGAGAAAGTAGACTTTCATTTAAGGGATCCAACGGTAAAAATGGCAAACAACAAACTGACAAAAGAAAAGAAAAGCACTGACTTGTAGATGTAGCACTGAAGGGAAGTGGCAACAACCAGGTGGTCAAATGCCATAGAGGCTTTGATGACGCGGTCTCTAAACTCCAACACATCTACTGCATCGTTCTGGACATTCCTAACCTGGTGAGGAAGAGAGACATGAGTAAAAGGCAAAAAGGAAAGTTATTTCAGAAAGCAGATGTAAACCTTTTATCACAGGAAAACTTGTTTATTATTTCAGCATTACTCTGGCTTTACAAAACTTTGCACGCTCGTGTAGGCCCAACAGAAAACAGTGTAGGACTTCACCATGCCTTTAATAGGCTAGGGAGAAAAAACTTTACTCTTTCACCTGTAATGATAAACACTTCTCTCCAGTTCTGAGTGAATGAATGAAAGAGCTTTTTCCAGCACCAGGGTAAAGGTGGGGTTATTTTTACAGCTTTACAAATCTTCTCTCCTCCCTGTAGCTTTCCAAATTTACATGCAACACAACCAGGAATAAATACGGTTCGGCCGCAAGGTGGTAAATTTAGCTGGCTGATTCACAAACCACTGGCAGATGTTCACTATTAAAAATGGACTGTGGGGATAAGAGGTGGGGAGGTGGGGATAGAAAAGCACCAACAAGGCTGAAAATAAAGAGCTAAAAGGCAACCTTGTTTGGTTTTAATAAACCGTACTGGTTAGAGGCAGAAGGGAGTGTTGATGTCTCCTCATTTCTGTAGGTGTGCACGTGTTTGCCTGTCTGAAGGTAGAACGGTGGTTGTATATGTACACTTGGGTGTGTTAACTTCGTGCAAAAGCTACCTTGTGGTCATTGTGAGTTTAAACTGTAAAAAGCGAGGTAGTGAGCTACAGACTGGTCATTGTCACTGCAGGGCTTGGATATTACAACTTTTAGCCCAATATTTTTAGATCAACAATAATAGCATATATTTTGAAATAAAAGGCTGACTCTTTTTACCTGCATGGTTCTCCTTTTGGTAAGAGTGATGACAAAGTTCTTCCACTCCCAGTGCTGCTCCACCACATGGGCAAAGATGACATGTCCGTTTCCACAGGCTCCGGCCAGCTGGGTGCCATCCGCAGACCAGGCCAGGCTGAACACACTGCCTGTGTTGGGTTTCTCCAGCGCATAGGACCACTAGAAAAGGGAGTAAGAGAATACCGACTCAAAATAAGTTCAGTGGATGTGCCGGTTACTTTTCCTCTTAAGCTAACTATTCCCTTGTCTTTTTAGCCTTTACATAACCTTTTTTCTTTTCTTGCAAGACATGAAGCAGCCTGACATGAAAGGTTTATAAGGGACTACATGTCAGTTCATGCCCATTAGAAAATTATTTTTAATTACTGAATTTATTTTAGCAATTCAAAGAGAAACCCTTATGTAAAGGTTCTTAACATTCAGAGTGATATTTTTGAATATTCTGTGTCTGTCCAACCTATAAAATCTTCAAACTTAAGGAGGTAAGAAAATCAGACAAAACCATTAATATTTCCAGGATAGCAATGTTGGGCTACTGAAAACTGTGCAGTCTGTGGCTCTGTTGTGGTGCTTTGCAAATCATCTGGACTTTTTAGGATCCTGCGTCTCTGCCCTGAAAAAGCCTCACTTACTCTTTAATAGCCTTTGGTTCACAATTCTTACCAGACTACAGTTATACCTGTGACTTGTGCTGCCTTTTCTAATACAGTTTTCGCTTTCCCTCAACATTATATGCTTTACTATAAAATGTGTAAACATACAGCCTCTTCAACAATTCAGTTTAATTAATTTATTTGTAACAAAACATAGCATATTTCATCCGACCAATAAAAGAAAGTGTTCTTAATACAACAAAGTCAACCTTCAAATAATTATGTACGGTTATGCACTCAATACTTGGTCGGGAATCCTTTTGCAGAAATGACTGCTTCAATGCGGCGTGGCATGGAGGCAATCAGCCTCTGAGGTGTTATGGAGGCCCAGGATGCTTCAATAGCGGCTTTTAGCTCATCCAGAGTGTTGGATCTTGCGTCTCTCAACTTTCTCTTCACAATATCCCACAGATTCTCTATGGGGTTAAGGTCAGGAGAGTTGGCAGGCCAATTGAGCAAAGTGATACCATGGTCAGTGAACCCTTTACCAGTGGTTTTGGCACTGTGAGCAGGTGCCAGGTCATGCTGAAAAATTAAATCTTCATCTCCATAAAGCTTTTCAGCAGATGGAAGCATGACGTGCTCCAAAATCTCCTGATAGCTGCATTGACCCTGTCCTTGATAAAACACAGTGGACCAACACCAGCAGCTGACATGGCACCCCAGTCCATCACTGACTGTGGGTACCTGACATTGGACTTCTGGCATTTCCTTCTCCCCAGTCTTCCTTCAGGCTCTGGCACCTTGATTTCCAAATGACATGGAAAATTTGATTTTATCCGAAAAAAGTACTTTGGACCACTGAGCAACAGTCCAGTGCTGCTTCTCTGTAGCCCAGGTCAGGCGCCTCTGCCACAGTTTCCGGTTCAAAAGTGGCTTGACCTGGGGAATGCGGTACCTGTAGCCCATTTTCCTGCACCTGTGCACGGTGGCTCTACTCCTGACTCAGTCCACTGCTTCCGCAGGTCCCCCAAGGTCTGGAATCGGCCCTTCCACAATCTTCCTCAGGGTCCAGTCACCTCTTCTCGTTGTGCAGCATTTTCTGCAACACTTTTTCCTCCCCCAGACTTCCCACTGAGGTGCCTTGATACAGCACCCTGGGAACAGCCTATTTGTATATATCTTTCTGTGTCATACCCTCTTGCTTGAGGGTGTCAATGATGGCCTTCTGGACAGCAGTCACGTCGGCAGTCTTACCCGTGATTGGGTTTTTTAGTGATGAACCAGGCTGGGAGTTTTAAAGGACTCAGGAATCTTTTACAGGTGTTTAGAGTTAATTTGTTGATTCAGATGATTAGGTGCATAGCTCGTTTAGATACCTTTTTTATGATATGCTAATTTTGAGAGATAGGAATTTTGGGTTTTCATGATCTGTATGCCAAAATCATCCATGTTAAGACAATAAAAGACCTAAAATATTTCAGTTAGTGTGCAATGGATCTAAAATATATGAATGGAAAATAATGAACTTTTTTACAATATGCTAATATTTTGAGAAGGACCTGTACAATAAGAAAAAGCAGAAAATATACAGTAACAGAGATAGAATGAAGCAGAATGAGGAAAAGTGGTGCCTTTGTGGTGCAGCAGCCTAAACATATACTGTAGCAGCATAAATACAGAAAATAGCTCAGGATAACTCAACATTTTGGCTGAGGTATGAGAAAGGTAGAGCCACAGTAGAGCCAAGGTAGAGCCAGGGAGAAATGTCTGTCCGAACTGAAATTCTTATTAAAAATATTATAAAAAAAAAAAAAATACATTTATTGATCTTATGTAATATTCTATTTTTCTGAAATTTTTATTTGGATTTCTATTAGATGTAAGTCATTATCAACACTATCAGAAATAAACATTTGAACTATATAAGTCTATGTGTGATGAATCCAATGAATTTTCATTTTTACATCAAGCTTCATTATTCTTGCACCCAAATACTGATGTATAACCTTTAAGTGTTATTCTTATCACTGAGATTTACCAGTATGACCAGCATGAGATCTACCAGTATATTTAAGACTCTGTCAAACATGTCCTCTGTTTTGGTGTACTAATAATTAAGATTTAGATTCATATATCCAAACAATAACCCAGAAATCCTGCCCTTTGATGATGTCTTCTCTAACACACTGTAGCCTGGGCTTTATGTTTGTCTTAAGCTCCATTTACACTACCCTTTGAAAACCAATCCATGCAGAGCTTGGATCAGTTCACCATGCTGAGCTTGGTTCCTTACGACCTTTTACACACCATGCTAGCACGGTTCATCGCCTCCTAGTGGTACTCTACCATACTACTAATCTATAGAGATAAAGATACAAATCAAATGGTGGCGCCCAAAACATTCAGGAAGTTTGCGGAATCAGGCGAAGAAGGCAGCCTTTGGAGAATTTAATTGAAAGAGTATCATCACTGGAAATCGTGTGACAAGGTAGGGAAGCGTGTATTTTTATGAATGTCTGAAAATACATGATTACAGAGGCTGACTGTAGACTGAGATGATGAGGTCTGCTCATGTGCTGTTATCTGAGAACTGAGCCAGAACTGAGCCACACCGAGCCCTACTGATGAACTAGTACCGTGTTAGCGTGGTTCCGTTGTGTCTGGCACGGTCCGATTCAGTTGTGCGTGCCATTTACACTCAACAGTTATCTCTGTTAATGTGCTAGGATCAATCTTTGCGTGGCTTCAAAAGGGTAGTGTATGGTGTAAATATTTACACCGTATTTACAAAGCCATGTAAATATGTCTTTAGAGAGCAAATGTATCCTCCTTGCACACCCCTTTTAAGGTTATTTCTTTCTGAATGTTCAACCAATTCACTATTTATAAAAGGAATAAGGATATGAGGAAAAGAAGAAACAGAAAAGTTAATACAAACATTAATCCAACATTTAGCCTATGTCTGCAGCTGTCTGTGGAGACTGAGTTACCCCACCTTTTCAAAAAAGTGCTACAACTACTGATGCTGTTCAAATCTAAATGCCTGTGAGAATTAGGCTTTTCTGTGTTAACATGAATCTAAAAGAAGTAGCGGTCAAGCCTGCAGGTAAAGGATGATAAATGTTTAATAACTGACTGCATCAGTGGCCTGTGCATCTCAAAGAAGCAGATTAAATCTTCCCTCTAATGGCTCTATGCACAGCTCCACTACTTCCTGAACAATTCCCTTGTTTCCTGTCTTTCACCACTGGACATGATAATTAATCCAGGTGTGTCTGGTTGGTTACAAAAGTTATTTTCCTTCTAGCCCTCTTCTGACTTCTGCCTGCTCTCTGCTTTACTCTTCTAAGTAGATTTGTCTCTTTTCTCTTCACCTATTCTTTCTATTAGTGTTCCGATTTCCCTATACTCTCATTTAATCTTCTTTCTATTAGTCTTTCTATCTTCTTTCTCTCTCCTCTTCTATCAATCTTAGTCTGCTCTAGAAGAGGCATAATATAAGCACAATCCCTTACAAAAACATTAGAATGTACAACCTGAAAACTTAAAATTTTACAGTTAAAATAAGAACTTTGTTTCACCCACCTTATTTTTAGAAGAGATACTATAGTTATGCCAGAAAATCTCATCATAATCATTATTATTACAATTATTACCTGATTAAATACTAAAAATGCTAATTACCACATAATTTGGAGCCACAAGCAAAACTAACATAATAAATAAACTTAAACAGGCGGTTATTTCTTACTTCATGATTCTAAGATCTTGCAGATCTTGTCTCATCCAGTTTTCCTGCTCCTGATTCCCATTTTTTCATGAGAACCTTCATATATCCAAACTGTGTAGTAAAAAAAGCACACCTGAGCCTGTAAGTCTATGTTCATAAATCACAACCATAGATCAGCAAAACAAGTTATAATAACTCTATGTATAATAGCTATCGTAAAATATAAACTAGAGGTCACCAGATATTTCCTAAACATCTTCAGATGAATGCTTGTTGATCCCTGGAGAACCACCGTACCAGAGTTGCATTTTATCCAGTATCTTTTCCTCATGCCAGCTGCAACCAGTGGTCTTGTCTTGTTTTTTGGTTGCTGGTTGTTAGCTTGGTTAATGTCATGCTTTGCGTCCTCATTTTTCAGTAAAACAAAACACATCAAAGCCCTTTTTTTTTTTTTTTTTTTACCTGGGCATAAACCAAATATTTATCACAAGGATCCCATTCCAATCATTTTAATTGGAATGGATTAGCCCAATCCAAATACAATGAAGTTTTTTTTTAACACAGTTAACATCCTTCCTTTGTTTTAAATGTGGTGCACTCCATTCATCACCCCCCATTCAAATTAGCTTCTTTTCTGTCATAGTTATTTATATGCACTTTTAAGTTATTCGAAAGTGTATAATGTTTGGATTTTGCACACTGGGCAAACATTTTAAGGTTTTTACTTTATAATCCTCTTGATCTAAGTCCTTAGCTACATTACAGCTATAATGTATACTGAGTTTATTTCTCACAAGTGTTATTTGTTTTAAAGATCAGTGGATTTTTATCCA